TGCCCCGCACAGGTACCACAGCCCCCGCGGGCCGCCCCGCCTGCGGCATCACCGCCGCCGCCCGCCGGCCCTGTCTGCACCCGCGCGCCCACCGCGCCCTCACCCTGTGCCGCGCGCAGGGGACCCCCTGCCTGGGTGTCGTCCCCCTCCCCCCCCCAGCCAGGTAGGGGCATCCCCGGCCCCCCAGGACGGGGTGCGGGCAGGGGTGACCCGCATGCGTGGCGTTGTCCCGCGCGAGGGAACGACCTGTGCTCGTCGGGATTCCTAGAAACAGGGGTAGCCTTTCCCTGAATCCCAACAGCGAAAATCAATCACTGCCGAAACGCTGCCGTCAGCACCAAGAAGAAATCTTAAGGATTTGCTGTTTGTTGGAAAGCACTGCCAAAAAAGAAATGTTTTCAGGCCTGCTCAGGCAGTAGAGAAGCCGATTCCTGGTGCAGGGTCTGGGCCAAGCGCAAGCAGAGGCGATAGGGATTTTATTGCCTGTAATTGGTGAGCTCTGTGCAGCACCGCGGGGTGGCTTCCCCCGCGCTGGGGTGCGTAGCCCACCTGCAAAAGGCTTGCGCTGCAAGCGAGCAGCTCCCCTGGGCACCGGGAAGGAATGGCAGAGGGCTGCGACGCCTTTTAAACACCTGTGTGTAACTCTGTCATCTTAGAAAGGATTTTTTTAAATCAAACTTTCCCGTAACACGCTGGCATCTGAGCGTTCCCCGCGCTGCGCCTGGCCCTTGGCGGCGTGCAGGCGATGCCACGCCGGTGAACCCGAGGGGAAACGCGGTTCCCTGGCTATGGGTACCGCAGGGCCGTTCTCCCCTTTGCTTTGCAGTTCTTGGTGACAATATCCTTGGTGACAATGTAAGTTCTTCCTGACAATGTTTAAGAAGCATTTGGACAACGCCCTCAGACACCTGGGGTGAATTTTGGGGTTGTCCTGTGCCGGGACAGGAGCCGGACTCGATCCGTGCGGGTCCCTTCCGACTCAGGACCTTCTATGGTTCTGTGACTCTGTGGTGTGTAAGGCAAAGCCCAGCACAGCGTGAAGACGGTGGCAGGCAGGGGCCCAACATGCTGTGCCGTGCCATGCCATGCCGTGCTGTGCCATGCCATACGCCGCCGTGCCATGCTGTGCCATGCCGTACCCTGCTGTGCCATGCTGTGCCATGCCGTGGCCATGCCATGCCGTGCCATCCTGTGCCATGCTGTACCCTGCTGTGCCATGCCGTGCCATGCCATGCCATGCCATACCCTGCTGTGCCATGCTGTGCCATGCCACACCCTGCTGTGCCATGCCATACCCTGCTGTGCCGTGCCATGCCGTGCCATGCCATGCCATGCCATACCCTGCTGTGCCATGCTGTGCCATGCCACACCCTGCTGTGCCATGCCATACCCTGCTGTGCCGTGCCATGCCGTGCCATGCCATGCCATGCCATACCCTGCTGTGCCATGCTGTGCCATGCCACACCCTGCTGTGCCATGCCATACCCTGCTGTGCCGTGCCATGCCGTACCCCACTGTGCCATGCTGTGCTGTGCCATGCCGTGCTGTGCCATGCCATACCCCGCTGTGCTATGCCGTGCCAAGCCATACCCTGCTGTGCCATACCCTGCTGTGCCATGCTGTGCCATGCCATGCCGTGCCATGCCGTACCCCGCTGTGCCGTGCCATGCCGTGCCGTGCCGTGCCGTGCCATACCCTGCTGTGCCATGCCGTGCCAAGCCATGCCACGCGGTGCCTACGCCCAGCTGCTGGGCCTCTGTTTGCAGAGGTTTAGGCAGCTGAAAAAAATGTCAGCTCGTTCCCTGGCATGCAACACCGTCCTTCGCCTTCACAGGGAACCTGACGCATCTTCAAAACAGTCAAACGACCAAACTCTGCGGTGAGTCACAATGCGGTAGCCGTGAGTCACCGCGGGATTAAAATAACTCTTGCACCATAACTCTCCCCCTGGACGAACACCGCTGCTCACTTCACTGCAGTTGGTGGTGCTGGGTTTGACCGAAAGCGAGCCGTTTGCCGCACTGGCGGAGCGGCCCTCCCGTCCCAGCCTGTCCCCGCGTGCTGCTGCTGGAGCAGCGAACGGCGACGTTCTGAAGCCCTCCTCCCCAGCCGCCGTGGTTCACGTTTGCGGCATCTTGATCCTTTGCCATGGGAATGCGGATGATGTGACACGTAAATCAAACACTGGATCAAGTTCACCAGGGGTGTAAGCAGGGATAACCTTACTGAAAACCCTCCGGCACGGAGCGGGCACCCCAAACCCAGCACCTGCCAATGGAAAGAGCACAGCAACGTTGCCCTGGAACAAAAGTCCCAAACAAAAAGAAAAAAAAAAGGAATTTGAGATGCATCTTCTATTTCCTAACACGAATGGAGCCATGCAATCGCATTGAACTCTGGTTTCTTTGCGGGTGCTCCTGCCGCACCATTCCCCGTGAGCTCCCGCTGCAGTGAGCTACTGGGTGCTGCCCCCCTCCTCCTCTTCCTCCTTCTCTTCCTCCTCCTCCTCTTTTTCCTCCTCCTCCTCCCCTACACACCTGCCCGGCTTTTCCCGCACACCCCTGGGGAGTCGGGGGAGCCGCGGGAGGTCCCGTTTCTTTGGCACCGCGCGAAGGCTCGTGGCTCCTGGCAGACGCTGGGGCGGGGCTGCCGGCAGCCCCTGGAGCAGGCGCAGTGGTCGGACACAGCTGAGTGACTGGTTTTGCACTGGTGGGGCTCCAGGGACCTCGGCGGGATGGCGCCTGACATGCTCCGCTGGGGAAGGAGCACCCACCCGGGCCCATGCCGACCTGAATATTTCCGTGCCTCTCTCGCATCCCCCGCTGAAAAGACCTTGGTGGCCCGGCGTGTGGAGCCGGCAGAAGATGCTGACCTGCTCTCCCTGCCAGATAAGGAAGCCCCCATTTAAATCAAGTTGTTAGAAGCAGACTGTTCTGTAAGCAAATGAACAGAAATGAATGAGACCCCACGCGACGGTGCGAAGCCGAGCGCCGGTGATCCTCCGTCCTCCTCGGCCGGGGAGCGGGGCCCGCACGGGCTCCCAGGGCAGGTCGCCTCGGCTCCTTCCCCGCTATTGAATTTCCAAACAAAACCAGCATTTGCAAAATGATTTGAATGAAGCCCCGGGTAGTTAACTACTCCAACACCCCCATTTTGTCTTTAAAAACTTTTCATTGCTCCTCCGCACCCTGCGCTTGCAAAGGTGGGGAAGGCGCTTTCCTGCTCACAGAAGGATGCAGCACCCGGAGAATTGCGGCTCAGCCCGGCGGGAAGCCGGTGGGAGCCCTGGCCGGAGCAGGGCCCGCGGCGTGCGCGGGGCGAGGAGCTCCCGGCGCTGCCTTTCTTTCTGCTTTGAAAACTGCCCAGAAATCGAGTAGCTTCTTTTCACAGTGTTTTTCTTTCTTTGAAAACAGGAGTGGGAGGAGGGGTTGGATGTTGGCTTGTAGTCTTGGAAACCGAAGCCGAGGAATATTGAATGGAAACCCAAACATGAAGCTGCCTA